CACATATGTGTTGTTTTACCCGGAGTAACTATAAGCAGCTTAGTTCTGATACCTACCTTACGATATTCTGTATATGATATACAGAATATCGTGAGGAATGCTGAGAAGTGATTTTTATGTCGCCAACACATTGATTTATGACTGTTTTGAAAAAGAGCGATAGTTAAGTTGTACCAGTTTTAATCTCAATGTAATTTGATAGTGGAACTAAAATGTGAGATAGTATTACGTTGAAAAATCTTACATTAAGTTACAGAAAACTGTATTTCAAATGCTTGGAAAAACATTTATTTTTATAAATATAGCTGTAATAGATTCCTACAATCATTGTTATTAAGGCATGCACTGCTAATTTATTTTAATTAGTAGTAGAGCAGGCCTTGATAATAATTTTATTATAAAAAACATACCTCTTTGTTATCATTAGATACATAGTATAAAACAAAGTCGCTGTCGCTGTCTGTCCGTCCCTATGTATGCTTTTATTAAATCTTAAAAACTACGCAACGGATTTTGAAGCAGTTTTTTTTAATAGATAGAGTGATTCAAGAGGAAGGTTTATATATATATATATATATATATATATATATATATATAATAAATATACACTCGTGCGAAGCCGGGGCAAGTAGCTGGTAAATATATATTTTTATATCTGTGGGTTTAAAACTAGAATAAATTATGGTAACAATATATTATAGCTAGATGAAGAATGTAAAATAGCGGACATATGCCGCCACGATCAAGTGCCAGTGTGCGGGATCGACTCCTGCGGCGAGATGAGAACCTTCATTGATACCTGCGACATGCATGAATTCAATTGTGATAGCAAAAAAGGTATACGTCAGTCTACATTAAAAATCCTATACTAATAATATAAAGAAGAAATATTTGATTTGTGTATGTTTGTTTCTATTTGATAGGCTATTTTGAAAGTTTATTAAGCTACCACCTTGCATTTTTTAAAGGAAAACTTCATCCTAAACATAGTGTTGGCGTGACAACGCCATATTACACTTCGTCTTGCTCTATGATAATATGACACATCTAAAACAGCAAAGTAATAATAAAATTATTTAAAAGAGCAACACGCAAGTTTCTTGCTCGTTCTTCTTGTGATGAGACAGCTTTCCGAACGAGCGGTAGATTAAAAAAAATGTAATGACTATTCAAAAGTGCTTCAATGTAAGTTTATTTGAATAAATGATTTTCTATTCTATTCTATTCTATTCTATACAGCGTGGTGACGCATCGAAATTTTTATTATTTCTATTTTCAATCCTCTCTTACTCACTTTTTTTTATCTTGATTTTTATTTGAAATTCTAAGTATTTCGTTAGTAATTATTTCAATATAACGTTTATATATCTGAATGAAAGGATCACCAGTAGTAGTAACTGTGTGTTTATTTTTATTTTTTTTTATTACGGAACCCCAATAACTACGAATTTGAAATGTAAGTATATCGTTTCTTATTAATATAGCTCATAGCTACGAGTAAAGAAGAAATATAATTAATCTTTGTCTGATATTTCCAAAAGGTTATCCTCCCACGCTTATATATAGAGGAGATAAGTCTGTACTTACAAGTATTTTAAGTTCATTTATAATTTGTTAACCCTCAGCTTTGTCTGCATGGACTTCGTTCCCCTAAAAATTGACCAATTTAGATTGTTTATACAAAATAAATTTAAGCATAATTTGTATATAGCTGGAATAGCAAACATGTTGACGACTCACCTGATGGAAAATCAAAACCGTTAGCTATATTCCTACACATTGCCATTTCTGAGAACTAACGTATCATGCCGGCGCATTATTTTATTTCTACATATATGTCACGAAATAATATTCAAGCCCAAAAGCACCTTATAAAGTAAAATCCTCAGCATTAGAAATATGTGAGATATATACTTAGTTGATTCTGTGCAAAGTCGTCATTAATAATATCTCCTGGCATTTGTATAGAACGCCAAAATTTTTATAGTAAGTAATAATCTAAATTCATAGTATAATTTCAAGTTAAACAATACTTCATGAGACTATACATACATGTATATAGGTATATATGTCATCTACAGCGGCTTTGTACATGAAGAACTTGTTATCTATTGGGAATTTCGAGAATCCTTTGTTAGCACGTTGGTTGCTGTGGACACTTACATCATAATAGCAAACTCTAATCAAAATTTCCACTACCCTTCAAGATGGTGATCAGCCCTTTACACCGTGCGTGGAATTATCTGATAGTCCGTCTATCAAATTCTTTTACAATTGCTTATATATTATTGTCCTAAGGACTTCGTAGCACCCTTTTAAAATAGTATATAAAGATGGGGTGCTTATATTAACGTGTTAATAATACCTGTTAATTTACTGCATTTTCGTTGGTTAGCAATAGATTATTTAGGTATACTTAAAAACGTATTTCTTATAGTTAATGTATATATAATCTTCCTTCTTCTTCTTCTGTAAGTGAGTATATTGAGAAACTGTAAAGCTCACTTAGTATGATGTGAATAAATAAAATGTGTCTTCAATTATAATGCAATAATCAAAAAAATACGGAAAATCTCCCAACTAAACGGACTATACATATCGGTGTTTTTTCGAACTACCTAATTACTATTTCAGTTTGAGGGTATGGATAGGAGCTGAAACTTCTACTCAGGTCTTTTGTAGTTCTGATTCGCGTTGAAATGAGACAGGTTTATCAAAGTTGAAAATTGGACGATAATTGATAGAAATATTAATATATTATCACTTTTTTAATATTTATAGTGATAATATAAAAACAGTCAAATTAAGAACATTCCTTTGTAAGATCGAAGTCTCACAAAGAAATATCACGAATTTCGTAATTTCCAATATACATTTCTCTTTAGACTTCACTAATTAAAAAAAATACATCGCTTGTTAAGTCTTTGATTACTGACATTTTCTCTTTAAAATACCAACACGTTGAATAAACGGGCTATAAATAAGTAAAACAGAATTCCTTTGATATTTAAGAAAATACCCTCACGCGAACTTTATCTAGTGTTGACTCAGAGGGATCGCCTCCTAAGCTCTTCTCGTGAAATCCTACTCCTTCGTCTTATTGAAAACCAATTTACCAAGACCCATAGAATGTATCCCCGTAGATACACGTATCTGTAGACCAAAAATAACTTGCAGATCGAACCTTACTGGCCAATAGAACGCCTACACTGGCGCCGATGATGCATGATTTATATTAGGTACCATTCATAATAATTTGAACTTTCTACAAGTTGGTAATGAGTATGTTTTTTTTTACTTTTCTTACCTACTGGTCCACTCTGGATTTGTTGGGTAATTTTAACTTAATGAGTTTTGTAGATATAATCTACATGTACATATGTATTGCACACACCGCACATTTTCGACATAGAATTTTTAAAATCAATGCAGTGATTCCGGAGTTTACTTTTTTTAATAACAAAATCCGGTCTCTATATATATATTAGTATAGATTTATTTACTAAAAAAATACTAGTATTATACTTTTTATAATATATACTTATTCTTCATATATATTATTTATTATTTAAGTTTATATATGTAATTTTAGAGATGTCATTATTATTAGCAATATTAATAATATTAAAAAATTCTCAAAATTCGTGTTTTTAGTCTTTTTAATTTTCATTTCCTATTCAAAATTAAAACTAATCGCAGTAGGTTTATTAAAGACACTTAGGACAAGTTAAGTCTTCCGTCAGTTTAGAAAATTATGTAGTATGTAAATACTGCATTTGCAAAACATTTACCACACCACACCTCAATAAGCAAAACCAATCGTGTATTTCATGTTATTGTTAGTTGCCTGACTCACTTAACTTCGTCACTATCATATTCTCCCCATTACTGCAACATTTTTCATGCTGTTCCGTTCTTTATGATTATAGCGTGATGTTATTTGGCTTATAGCTTTCCTTGATAAATAGGCTATATAATACTAAAAGAATTTTCAAATGGGATCACTAGTACTGAAGTTTGCCCCAAACATCCAAACATTAGTACAGATGTCATATTTGTTTTCAGATTTCGTTCAAAAACCAGTCCATGAGTGTTGGGTGACGTGTAAAAGAGGTAGAAGCTTCAAAAAATCGCAATATGGCAGCAATTGTGACAAGGAAAATATAATTTAAAAAATATATTTTTTATCAAAAACAATTGTTTCTTTTTAATAATAACAATTGAACAATAACTTACTTAATGTACTTATTGTTCGAGATCACAGTGGTATTAATATACTAATAGTTTTAATTTAAAAATATAAGTAAATAATAAACTAAATTCTTGTACAAAAATATTATTCCTAAATAAAGATAAATAGAAAAACCGGTTTACAAATTAAATTACGCGCATAATTTAAACCAACTCTTATTTACATACACTTAATGCATTACTTATCAATACACTTATAATTAATGATAGTTATATACAATTACTCATTTAAAGGTTATATTCGTTTCGTTACATTGTAAGTTATGACTTAGAGACACAAAGTAAAAATGTTAAGCTAACAGAATTATATTAGGTATACAAGGTGACGATATTTATAATACTTATACATATTAAAATAATATACCCACGACCGCCATCCCAGATGGGATGGTCAAGATAGTCAACTGTCAATATGTCGACGAACGAATACTTGACATGCCCACATTTCGTTGGGTATATTGGAATCCGTGACGTGGCAGGGGCGAGTCTACCGCCGTCTATCCGATTTATGTGGTTTTGTTATCGGTGTTTCCATCACCGGAGAGTCCATCGGAAATTAATATAAAGATTTTTTAATCGCACTAGCGAACTTTCGATCTCAATAAGGATATGTACCATTAGGCCATAACACTCTAAATTATAATTACTTAAAATTATACGAAAATATTTACAACACTAATAGTTCATGTATCCTATTGAAGAAATAGTGTCTAATAAAAGAAATAAACAAAGTAAATTCATGTGGATCTTCGTTTATGAAAGTAATTAAACTAAATAATATTAATATATTAATGGCTATCTAAGAAACCGGCACTCTTGACGATATTATAAATTTTCTGCCGTGGAATTTTCTCGGCCTCTCTTTCCACGACTTGCATTTCTTTATTGGTGAACCACGACTCCTTCGCCAGACCAGAAGCGATTAATGGGTTATCGTAGAAATCGCTGGATTTCAACAAATCGCGTGGTAGTAAAGCTTCACTAGCTGCATTAAGTTCCACTGCTGGATGGGCTCTAATTGCTGGTATTGAATCATGGGCGTATTCAACGCCAATAGGCTGCAAGGGTTGGGTGAAAATCAATCCAGGCCTGGCTTGCACCACCGCCAAAAATGCAGTAGCGATGCTG